AGTGACCCTTTGGGTTTCTGAGGCAGTAAATCTTTATGGAAGTAGATTGCCCAGGCTTCCTTCCACAGTGTGGCTGGTGGGTTTGAACCAACAACTTTCTGCCTTCTGGTAAACAGTCAAATGCCTTAGGCACTACGTCATTAGAGCTCCTTGTGGTTACTATAGATGAGTTTTAAATTTGGCTCAGAATTTCCTGGTTGGTAAATGAATCCATAAATCAAATTGAATGTTTCTTTTGTAAGCATTGTAAAAAATTGTTTTCCATTTATACAAAGTATACTTGGTTTTGTCAAGGAGGGGGAAGAGTGGGGGGAGAGAGAGAAAGAAGCAAAAAAGGAAAGAGTCACCTGAAACTTTGCCAACAGTGATAAACCACTGTTAAAATTTTACTATTTTTTCCTTTAAGATTATGTAAATGTGTCTTTGAGTGTATTTGTGTGTGTGTGAGAGAGAGAGAGAAAGATTGATTTTGATTATACATATTGTTCTTGAATGTTTTTAATTGTGAAGGTCCTTCAATCGGTCAGCCCTCAGTAAATAGAGGCTTATCTCATTGATACCTAGCAAGTGTTCTGCTGCTGGTGTATTAGTTTCCTAGGACTGTAACAAAGTACTGCAAATTGTATGGCTTATAAGAGCAGAAATATATTATCTCATAGTTCTAGAGATTAGAAGTCCAAAGTGAGGCTGTCAGCCATGATTTAGCCTTCTGGGGACTATGAGGGAGAATCTTTTCTATGCTTCTCTTGTAGTTTTTATTGATGGCCAGAAGTCTTCAGTTTTCTTTGGCAAGTAGATAAATGACCCAGTCTCTGCCTCTGTTATCACAAGGCTGTTTTCCTTCTGTGTCTTTCTTTGCATTTCTTCTTTTTTGTAAGAACATGACTATATTGGATTAGAACCCTCCTTTGCCATCCCCACCCCAGCCCCCTAACTGCTAATTGATAATATTTTGAAAGACCCTATTTCCAACAAAGTTAAATTCAGTGTCAGGGCTTAAGACTTCAGTATATCTTTTTGAGGGATACAATTCAATCCATAACATTTGAATAAACCATTAATATTATTATAGCATGTTTTTAGAAACTTTTGTTACCAGTTTTTCTCTATTATTAATACTGCTGTATGGTTGTGGGAATACATTGGTAGAATATAAAAATAAAGAGATTTCAAGTCTTAAAAAGTAAATAATTATACTACAAAGGCATGAGCATTAAGATTGGACAAAGACAAGAAATATTAATTGAAATCCACAAAATAATTTTTACAAAACTATTCAACTTAATTATAATCAATGAAATCCAATTTAAAGGTGAAATACCATTGTTCTCTTATTAAATTAGCAAAGATTAAGAAATACATGTTCAAAGTTTTGTTACTATTCTGAGTGATAAACAATATCATTAGTGGGCACAGTCTTTCTGGAAAACATTTTTATCTGAATTTATTAAAATCAATTCCATGTTTAGAAAGTTAATATTAAAATAATTCCATAATTATGCAAAGTTGCAAAGATAATATAGGTGTAAAAGAATGTTTGTTTTAGCATAAAGTTTATTGGGGGAAAAGAAAACTTTAAATCACTCTCAGAGGAGGAATTACTAGATCGTGTTATATTCCTATAATGGAATTTTATTTAGCCATTAAAATTATTTCAAGTTATATTTATTGACATAGAAGTCCATAGCTATTTTCTGTGAAGTGGGGCTAGGAGAAAGCTTAGTTTCAATGCTTTTTTGAAACTGTTTTAAAATTAAACACAGAAAAATTATACTGAGCTAAATGATAAATATAACTAAAAATATCACTGCCATTGAGTCGGATATAGTGATTCCATTTGCAAAATGTACATATGAATAAATTATATTTTCTTTTTATAGTTTTCCATATATTCTTATAGTGAGTATATATTAGTTTTTAGTTAAGAGAATAATTATGTTTCATAAAATGTACTCATTCCCTTTGAATCAGTGATTCTACTTCTTGCAGTGTATCCTAAATAATCCAAAAGATACACAAAATGTCATTCTTATTAATTAAAATACTGACCATATTATTATATGGCAGCAATTTCTATCCTGTTGCCCAAGTCAAATGCTAGAAGTCTGCCAAAGGGTCAGGGAGGCCGCATCTTCTGACCTCCTCTAACCCCATAAGAGGAAAACAGAATCACCGTCAGTAGCCCAAGGCCTATTCCTGTGAGGCCAGACATGCTGCCTCCCTCCAGCCCTTTCACCAAGCCTGACACAAACTGTTCCTCCTGCAGCACCCATCACCTCTCTGCTGGGTTCGATAATTTGCTTAAGTGGCCACACAGAACTCACTGTAGCAGCAGGCTACAGTTCAAGTTCAGGAGTGCACTCAGTCTCTCTCAGCCCACTGCCGTCTCTTAGATGAGTTTCTCTCAGTCTCTCTCCCAGTGGTGCACATTTCCCAGTGTCTGTCTCAGCAATGCATGTCTCTCGCATCTCCCAGCTGGCAGTGAGAAACTTCTTCTGCCTCTAGGAGGGCTCTTTTTTGAGCCTGGCATAGTGGCCAAACTAACCAATCCCAATATCAGAATTCTGTACACCTGAGAGAGAGAGAACTTCCCAGAAGATTGCTTCATGCCACTCTCAACAGAAATACCCCAGGTGGATAACTTTAACATCAGGAGCTACTCAATTGCTCACAGCAAATTCTACCATGGAGTTTACAAAGACTTATGGCTAGAAAAGCCACACTATCTAATTTATTACACCACAAAGTCATTTTTTATTCCTTTCTATTAGTCTGTACTCCCTATTCATGAAATACACCTGTAAATTCTACTTCCAAAATATTCCAAATATGCCCATCTTTTTCCATTTTCACTACTACCTTGCCAGTCCAAACTGTCATCATCTCCATTTGCTAATGCTGCATAGCCTCCTAATTAACTGCTCTGTGTCTAACTTTGCCCTCTTCTGCTCCACTACTGATTACAATCTGTTTGTCATACAAATATTAGAGTGATCTATTAAAACCCAAGCACACAATGACATGCCCCTACTGGCCTCCAATTATGCTTCAAAGAAATTTGAAATTCCTTCCTGTGCCTACAAGACCCTGCATGATATGACTCTACCTACAAGTTTTCTTCAGCTAATAATATTCTTTGTTCACACTAACTTCTTGTATTTTCCTGGATCACAGAAAGCTTGTTTCTGCCTTCTGACCTTTGTGTTAGCTGTTCTTGCTGACTACGTTAATCTTTATCCCCGCATTTTTGCATGGGAGCTCTGGTAGTGTAGTGCCTAAGGCACTTGACTGCTAACCAGAAGGCTGGCAGTTCAAACCCACTAGCCACTCTTCGGAAGGAAGATGGGGCAATCTACTTCCGTAGTGATACTGCCTCAGAAACCCAAGGAGGGGTTGCTGTGAGTCGGGTCTGACTCAACGGCACATAACAACAACAACAGCTCTTGTTAGTAGTATAACATCTTTAGTTTCATTTAGTCATCCTTCAGGTTAAAATACCAGCCCATTTACTACTCCCACACATACCATTGTTTTGTTGTTCTATAGTTCTTATTACTCTCATACTTCCTTCTTTATTTGGTAATTTTGTTATTGTCAGTGCCCTGCTACTAGAATGCAACCATTGTGAAAGTAGGATCCTTATCTGAACTTGTTCCCTGTACTCCCCAGAGTCTTGACATTTATGTGTTGTGTTGTGGACATTCAATAGTATTGTTTGAGTGAGTGTCTATTGCAGCATTATTTACAGCACTCAGTTAGATGAATCTCAAAGTAGTACCATTTGAGACACTGTGTTTCATGGAGATTTTTAGGCAACAGCTCTTTTACTTTTAACTTATAGCCCCTCCGCATTTTCCCATGAGGATTTACCTTGATTAGTCTGGTGACTGAACTGGGAGACAAAGCTGAGTAATAATACAAATTGCTGTATAACCAGAAATGCTCTACTTCCTGAAGACATACTGTTTTTTTTTTTTTTTTACTAGAAGGTCTTCAGCAATGTGTTAATTTTATTATTATTATTGTATTTGGGTGCAGATGTACAGTGCAAAATTTATTTTTTATTCAATAGTTTATGTACATTTCATTTCACATTCCAATTACCATTCCTCATTGTAACACAATCTCCTCCCAACCCATTCCCATGATGCCCCCTCCATGTGTCCTTCTTAAGCATGTACTCCTGTGTATCCAGCTTTCCCTCTCCATGACTGCTGCTCCTCTGATGCCCCATGGCTGATTGCTCTAAGGGGTATATCTCCCTAGAGTAGGTAGGTGCATCACCCCGGGTTGGGTGTTCTGCATGTAAGTCTTTCTACTGTTGGGCTGAAAGCCAATTCTTGGGAGTGAGTCCAGTCCCAGGCCCAAAGGGTAACCTGGGACCATAGTCTTGCAGGGAGAGGGGGGTTCCCACCAGACTCCATCCAACCAATGATTCTGGTCACTTTTGTGTTTTGTAATTTTCTTCCACATTTTTCCTCCCACTTTTCCAGAATCTTCAGTTTTAATCCCTTCCCAAGTGGTTGGCATTGGTAGCCAGTCACCATCTAGTTCTTCTGGCCTCGAGGCCCATCATATCCTTGGACTAATTGTTTCCAAATGTTTTTTATTTTCTTCATTCTTCTTTGCTTCAGATGAAAGGAGACCAATAGTTTCATCTCAGATGGCTGCTCAAAAGCTTTTAAGACCCCAGTCACTACTCACCAAAGTAGGTTGTGGAACAAGAATTTTTTGGAAGCCATACTTTGTTACCAGATCAAGCCTGCTTCCTACTCTTATTGGAAGAGCTTTCCTTTGAGTTTTTCAGTTCACTTACTGATAAGTTTGGGGACCAATCCCACCCAGGCATGTTTTCCATCTTGCTTCATTCTCTTACCCTTTTTTACCCTTTATCCTTCTCTAAGATTCTCACAGCATATTTGTTAGCTAAGCTTGTATACTTTGCTGTCACTTTTCTTTATTCCCAGTGCAAGAAGATTTATATGTTTTGTTTATTTTAGGATGGAAGAGTTTGCTTGAAACCACAGTTTCTGAAGGAGAAACTCAGGAAGTGATAATGAAAAAGCTGCTAGATGGTGGTCCTTTTAACTTCAAGTTGGGAAAAACCTACATATATGAGGGAAAGTTAGAGAAGCAACAAGGCAAAAATAAGCCTTTCAGAAAAGTCTTAGTTACCTTCAGGAAAACCTATGTGAAGGAGAGAAGCATGAAAGGTATTGAATTTGGAAAAAATCTCAGTCTGAAGTCACCACTTATTAGAACACCCAGAATCATATCCAGAGGAAGGAAATCCTATTCACAACAGTATTCATCTCTGCTTAAACAGCTGGGAATCAACACATGGCGTAAATGTTATAAATGTACTGTCTGTGGGAAAGTCTTCCTCCATAGCTCTTCCCTGAGTAAGCATCAAAGAATCCACACTGGAGAGAAGCTCTATAAATGTAAGGAATGTAGGAAAGCTTTCAGCCAAAGCTCATCCCTTACTCAGCACCTGAGGGTTCACACTGGAGAAAAACCTTACATATGTAATGAATGCGGAAAAGCTTTTAGTTTCACTACATCTCTTATTGGACATCAAAGAATGCATACTGGAGAGAGACCCTATAAGTGCAAAGAATGTGGAAAAACTTTTAAAGGTAGTTCATCTCTTAATAATCATCAGCGAATTCATACTGGAGAAAAACCCTATAAGTGTAATGAATGTGGGAGAGCCTTTAGTCAGTGCTCATCTCTTATTCAACATCATAGAATCCATACTGGAGAGAAACCATATGAATGTAGTCAGTGTGGAAAAGCCTTTACTTCAATATCACGGCTAAGTAGACACCATAGGATTCATACTGGAGAGAAACCCTTTAACTGTAACGAGTGTGGAAAAGTCTTCAGTTACCACTCAGCCCTTATTATACATCAGAGAACTCACACTGGTGAGAAACCTTATGCATGTAAAGAATGCGGGAAAGCCTTCAGCCAAAGCTCAGCTCTTATACAACATCAGAGAATTCACACTGGAGAGAAGCCCTACAAATGTAATGAATGTGGGAAAGCCTTTTCCTGGATTTCACGACTTAATATACATCATAGAATTCATACTGGAGAGAAACCATATAATTGTAAGGAATGTGGAAAAGCCTTCAGTTCCCATTCAGCAGTTAATACTCATCGGAAAATTCATAGTGGAGAGAAACCTTATAAATGTAATGACTGTGAAAAAGCCTTCAACCAAAGCTCAGCTCTAATTCAGCACCAGAGGATTCATACTGGAGAGAAACCATTTAATTGTAAAGTGTGTGGGAAAGCCTTCAGACAAAGTTCATCCCTTATGACACATATGAGAATTCATACTGGAGAAAAGCCTTATAAATGTAAACAATGTGGAAAAGCTTTTAGTCAGAGTTCATCCCTTACTAATCATCAGAGGACCCATACTGGAGAGAAACTTTAAAAATAGAATGCATTTGGAAAATCTAACTGAAATTCATTCCATACTGAATATCAGAGTATTATCTCAAGGAGAAAGAAATGAATTGTCATTAACTGTGGGGAAAACTTCAGAATTTAGATGTTTTTATCAGACATCAGAGGCTTCATAATCCAGAATTACTCTGGGAATATTAGGAAAGTCCCCAGAAAATTATTTTATTTCCTAAAGGTATTAATGACTATAATATTGAGAGTTTGTTAGATCAAGTGGTAGTAGTATTTATTTTCTTTCTAGTAATGTATAACAGCCACCACCTTACATAGACTTCACTGGGAAGCATGCTGGTTTATTCAAAACTGAAGCTATAAAATCAACACTAGATAAATCTAGGAATCTATTTTTTTAGATGGAATTTAAGTTTTATGCAAGCCAGTTGTACTTAAGTAAGATGATCTGTAGCTACCTCATTGTTAGTAAAATTTGTTTTTTTCATAGTTTAACGGCAAGTTACATATTAGCTTGTTAAAACTTTTGGGTTGTTTCTCTGTTTTCTAAGCCGTTCACCCAAAAAGAAATTCACTCTGTAAACTATGCAGTTGTACAGTCCTGTGAATTTTGTGAATTTTTGCCTTGACTATTTGCTCCAAACTTTGAATCAGATCTAAAGTCACTCTATTTTAAATCATGAAATGCATGGTGTTCCACTTCTTTTTTCTCATAATGTGATTATATATATATATATATATATATATATATATATATATATATATATATATATATATATAAACTAAGAAGTAAAGTTTATTCAGACAGCTACTGCTTTTGCAATTTAATTTATTACTGGTAAGTGTTGTTAAAATTTATCTCACAATGTAACAGGGGACACAACTCTTCCTCCCATGCAGTGTCTTCCCCTGTTACCAGTCACCAAAGAAGGCCCAGGAACAGTATGGAACTCAGGTTGTCCTCCATGTAGGTAAACTGAGTCAAGTGATTACCCTTCCATTCTAATTTGCCTCTGTTAGGTGATGCACCTTCATTCTATAAATTCTGAGGGCCACTATGCAAAAACTCAGCCTGTGAGTTCAGAAGTTTGAGTTTGGATGCATTTTCCTCTAAAAACAGACTATTATTTCCTTCAATAAGTCATTTTAGCTTTGTAAAATGTGACTAATAATATGAGCAAGCTAAAAAATAATCATCTCTTAAACAACTTACAGAGCCTCAAAGAGCCTAACTTCATCCAGTTTTGACTTAAAAGGAGTAGACAAGCATTAAGGGGGGTGAATTACCTGTTTCATAAAATGTGTTAGTTTCTTCCCCTTTGCCAACAATATTAAAGGGAAAAGAAAAAAAAAAAAAAAAAACACCTTCAGAAAAGTTGCGTTGGTGGAGACTAAGCAAAGCAAAAATCATTGAATTCAGCTTTGCCCCTGGGACCAGTCAGTCTCATGTTTCAGACTGGTAGTGATCAATTTTGGGGGGAGTTATTTAGTGCCTAAGGCATTTGACTATTAAACCCACTGGCTGCTCCTCAGAAGGAAGGTTGGGCAATCTACTTCCATAGTGATACTGCCTCAGAAACCCAAGGAGAGGTTGCTATAAGTCAGTTTTGACTTGACAGCAGTG